CTTCCTCTCTCTTCCTATTTAAGAGTGGTTTTCTTAGCTATTTATGATTCATTTCATGAAAGCCTAGGCTTTCTCTGAGGGTACTAAAAAGTCTTAAAGTGATTTTAGAGACTAGCAGCAACACGGAACTATTTTCCTTCATCCTTAAAGTCATTGTCAATAGCCTACAACCTGCAATAAGCTATTAAAAAAGGAATTTATGGGGGCTGTATTCTCCTCCTGAAATAATGTTGTTACAAGTCCGCCCTTGTCAGTCATCTGCAGGATTCATGTGCTTGATCTCAAACAAAGGGAGGGTCTGGATGCACACAGAGGCTCATGGCAAATTACCCAGGGAGGGCCTGACTTGAGAGGCCTGATGCCCTTCGTCACCTTTTCAAAGCAACAGAGTAATAGCCACACGTGTGTTTTATCCTGATGGCACTAAAAGGTACCTGTTTGTAAGGCAGGGTTAGAATTACAGAATTAAAAAAATATTTGCATGCCTGATAACAGCAAATTATGTGGGAGTGTCTGGAGGGCACTGGGGGAGTCCTAGGCAGGACTTTACAGACAACCACAAGCATCCTATGCATACTTAAAGTTGCACACCCTCTTCTTTCTGCCTCTTTCTTCCTCCACGTCTCCTTGTCCCACAAGCACGTTCCTTTGCTGAAGCCAGGCTAGCCTGGCAAGCCCCTTGGGGAGAGAGGAGCAGAGAGCCTTCTGTGTGCTGCTGAGTGGGGAGTGGGCTGGGGACGTGCAGGCAGCGAATGGGGACAGAATGAGTCACCAGTGGCTGGATTAGCCAGAAGGTGCAGAATCGCTGAAGGCAGAAGGTCCACCTTGGAGAGACAGCTATAGGGAATGAAGAATGAGACTGTGCGTGGCAAAGGATGCGAAATGGTCAAAGAAGAGGAGGGAGGAAGGGGAGGAAAGAGGAGGCAAAGGCATGAAAATGGTTTGACTGGATTCCAAGAGCTGAAGATAGAAAGTTCCACATTCTAAACCTTAATAATATAAATCATCATTCCCTGAAGACAGTAACAGAATTTCACTGGTAAAATAATGGCTTTCTTTATTAAAAAAAAAAAAAAATTATGTTGTCCCTTAAAATGTAAAAAAAAAAGAAAGAAAGAAAAGAAAAAGGCTCTCCAAGGTTTGGGTGTATAGTGCTTAATAGTCAATGCTAAAGCAAAGGAAACTAGTTTGACAATGAGAATAAAAATGAGAAGCTAAGAACCATCACTCCTAGAACACTAATTTACATAAGCCTACTCTAACACGATGTGCTGCTCATTACTTGTTTTAGAAAGTTATCAGAAGCATATGTCGAGTATGTTTTGAAAGCCAGCTTGCTTCATCCTGTGAAGCGATGTCTGGAGTTAGTGCCTATGGAAAACAGACTAGCACACATATGACTTTAATCCCATTATTTTGGAAACTTCGGAAAGCCTTGGTATCATTTAAGATGGTTGGTTTTCTTATTTTGTGTACTTAGACAAACATTAATGACTTTATTTAGGAAAAACTTATATACATTTAGAAAACTGAAAATCAAAATCTAGAATTCAAATTGTCACGGAATACCAAACTCTAATTTGTAATAGTCTCCATATAAGTGACATCATTTTACCATTTCCTCATAGGATTACCTCTAAGGTTTAGCAAGAGTTTTCTAAAACTCATCTCCAGAGGAAAATCTAAACTCTGCTAAAATATTGTTACACAAATTTGTAAATGAAAGACCTAATAAAATAAATATTGGGAAAGAATAAATATTTGCCATCTGCCAAAATAATTCTAATTTATATTAATAACCTGGTTAGTTTTTTTGGTACAAAATTACAAAGTAGCCACTAGTAACTAACATTTATAAAATAATAGCTTGTGTAAGAGTCCCTGCCCTTCACGTAATCACCCAATAAGTCCAAACTGGAGTATTTTCAGCAACATTTATCAGATATCACTTTTACATAATTGAAACTATCAATGACAGTCTTTTAGTAGACTATCCGCTTTTGGTCAAAATATTGCTCGAGAAATCATCCCCCTTTGAAGTGCCATGTATTACATCTGCAATCATGCTGTCAAAATAAAATGTATTTAAGACAAAAGGAAGATGATTTCTTAATTAAGTGTAACAAAAAAGCACAGAAGACTATGTTCATTCTAGTTCTAGAATTATCTGTAAATTACCAGAGTAGAGGAAACTCAAATCAGGGACCTTCTGGTCAAAAGATGGAAAAACCAGTGAAAACTTATGAGAACTTGTCATTGTATGAGAAAAATAAAATGCAACCAAAATACAATTTTCTAAAATGTGTTCCTAATTAGCACCTTGGCTCTCTGTGGCTCTGTAAATATAAATAAATAGAAAGCTAAGACCTTCATTTCTTCTTGACTTCAAGCTTAGTTATAACACTCCTAAATGAAAACACAATTTTCTGGTATTGTTGATGTCAAAGGAGGTGAAGAAAAGAGATACAAGAATTCTAGGAAAGGCTGTGGAGGGTGGCAAAGGATGGTGGGAGTAGTTATGGGTGTGCTGGGGAGTGTGGCTTTGTCTCAAGCTGCCCTTCATCCTGACCCACTGGCCACTCTCTGCTATTTGGGACAAGCGGAGTTGCTAATGTGGGTTCATTATTACCCAAAACACCAGTGCTACCAGCAATGCTGCTATTACCCCTTGGTGGCAATAAAACGCTGAAATGAGCAGTTGTTGAACCATAAAATGTTAGGGCTGGAAGAAATATTAAAATGGGTCTCTCTGGGCACAGGGTCCAACTGATTGGGGGGCTAAACTCAGAACAGAGTACTCTTAACTCTCAAGCCACAGGCACTTTAATATGTAAATATCAGAAACTGGCTTAGTCAAGGAGTTAGAGGTTACAACATATTTGGTAGGATTTATACAGCAGGAGAAGGGGGCGACAGAGGATGAGATGGTTGGATGGCATCATTGACTCAGTGGACACGAGTTTGAGCAAACTCCGGTAGATGGTGAAGGACAGGGAAGCCTGGCGTGCTGCAGTCCGTGGGGTCGCAGTCAGACACGACTGCGCGGCTGAACAACAGCAGCAGCAGCATCTAAGTATTTCATGTTGTCTGTATCGTAAATCTGAGCCCAGCTCCCTAGAATCTCAAATTAAACCCGGAGCACCTTTGCCTCATTTGAGCCCATAAAGACATAATATGAACCACACAAATGATTTAAAAGTTTCTAGTAGTCACATTTTCAAAATTGAAAAGGAAGCCGTGAGATGAATTTAAATAATAGTGTATTTTTGGGCTTCCCAGGTGGTGCTAGTGGTAAAGAACCCACCTGCCAATGCAGGAGATTTAAGACACAAGGGTTTGATCCCTGGGTCAGGAAGATCCCCTAGAGGAGGAAATGGCAACCCACTCCAGGATTCTCACCTGGAGAAGCCCGTGGACAGCAGAGCCTGGCAGGCTTCGGTCCACAGGGTCGCAGAGTCTGTCACAACTGAAGTGACTTAGCACAGCACAGCATGGCACCAAATAATCCCAAGCTTAAAACACACGTGTAGACTTAGCAACAACAAAATTGCTGCTCACTTGCTCTGGGTCAGCTTGCGTAGCGGCTTAGCTGGATGGTGCTGGCTCTGGGCTTCCCGAGTGTGCAGTCAAGCTAGTGGTCTGGCTACATCATCTAAAGCACTGATCGGGACAGGAGGGTCCACTTCCCAGCAAGGCCGTGGCCAGCAGCTGGATTCTCCATGGCCTCTCTACTCCATCTGGCATCTTCAGCATGAGAGTCTGTTCTTCACTGATAACTGGGCTCTGAGGTAGAGAGAGAGGGACAGGGAGGGAGCAAGCTCACGAGGGAGAGACGCAGAACCCAAAAAAGGTGTCGTCTTTCTTATTGTGATCTATCACTCCTATCACTCCTGCCGAATTTTATGCCTCAGAATTGAGCCAGTAAGTCCAGCCTACTTTCTAGGAGAGGGGATTACATATGGGTATGAAGAGCAGGGCTTCCCTGGTAGCTCAGATGGTAAAGAATCTGCCTGCAATGCAGGAGACCACGAGAGTGACCTGGGTTCCATCCCTGGTTCGGGAAGATCCTCTGGAGAAGGGAACAGCTACCCACTCCAGTATTCTGGCCTGGAGAATTCCATGGACAGATGAGCCTGGCAGGCTGCAGTCCATTACAGTCCATGGGGTCTCAAAGAGTTGGATACAACGGAGCAACTTTCACTTTCACTTTCATGATTAGTAGGAGGCTGGGGTCATTAGCACTTGCCTTAGAAGCAGCTATCACAAATATGTTTTACCCCAATATGTCTAAAGTATTATTTCATATACACTCAGTGTAAAATGATGGAGATGTTGTACATTCTTTTCTTTCATACTAAGCTGTGAGAATCCAGTACATGTTTTATGCTTATGGTATGTATCAACTTGGATAAGCTGCGCCCGAAGCTGCAGTATCCACATGAGGTGACTGTATGACAGCCCACGTCTAGATGCTCTGAAGCCACCTGAAGACCCAGACACCCTAACTCGGGGATCTTCCTTAATGGGAGCTTAAATTATTTTAGTCATCCATCAGACCCGTATCAAGGGCCTGCCATGGTGCAGAATGTGGGGAAGCCCAAATCCGTAATTGCCCTAAAGGAACTCAGCCAGTCAAGTTAAGAATTTAAGCTCTGAATCTACAGCAACCAGGCCGGACCTACCTCAGAGAGCTCTAGCCTGTGAAGGGTTCTGGAACAAAGCAGAGGTCAGACTCTCCACAGTCCTGGGAAAGGTGAGCGACCCAGTGTCTATCCGGCCCAGTCAGAGCCTCCAACAATGACCACACACATCATTTAGTCCTAGGTCCAACCTGAGGCCATGTCCCCAGGCCTGAGCTGGAGCCCATATGTTGGCCTGAAATCTGATTTGCCTTGGACATGGAACAAGTTAAATATTTGTTTAACTCAGTACATTGTACTTTCCACTATTCTCCACAAGCAGGGCCTGTAAGAGAAGAAAGATGTAGGGAGTACCTTAACTCTTTCAGACTTCTTGGGTGCTTTGGAGAGGGTTCTGTAGAAATGCTGGTACATCTCCTGATTGCACCAAGCCTCATATATATGTGACTAATCTATGTCAAGAAAAAAATATCCATATTAATTTTAACAGCAATGAATCAGGGAGAATTATTTTCAGTGTATTCTCTGCCCTAATTCTGATAGTGCAAATTTCTTTGCTTTTGCAATGTACATGTGTATTTGACTTGCATCTTTTCACATGAAGTTATGTCCTGAAGTGTATTTGTGAAATGGCAACCCACACAAGTGTTCTTGCCTGGAGAATCCCAGGGACGGCAGAGCCTGGTGGGCTGCCATCTATGGGGTCGCACAGAGTTGGACACGACTGAAGCGACTTAGCAGCAGCAGCAGCATAAGCATTTTGAGAATATAATTCCATGTAGCCAGGGCCTAATAGAAGAACTTCCCATCCCCCCAAATAGCACTTAAATGTTATTTATTAATGGTGATACACCTGGCAGTCCAGTGTTAAAATTCCACATTTCATTTGGGGAAAATGTAGTATATTTTTCAATAGCAGTAGAGGAAAACAGCTTCTGGTTTTCTACCAATGTAAACAGTAGTAATTTATTTTATTCATTTTATTTTTCTTTGTTTTATTATAATTGACATAAAGCACTGCACAAGTTTAAGGTGTAGAACATAATGATTTGACTTAACACATATCATGAAATGATGTACCACAATTGAGTGAACATTCATCTCAAATAGATACAAAATTAAAGAAATAGAAAACATTATTTTCTCCTTGTGATGAGAATTCTTAGGATTTATTCTGTTAACAATTTTCATATATAACATGTAGCAGTATTATATTTATCATATCATGTAACACATTACATCCCCAGTACTTATTTATTTTATAACTGGAAGTTTGTACCTTTTGACTCTCTTCATCAAGTTTCCTTTTCCTGCAACCCTGACCTCTGGTAACCTCAAATCTGATCTCTTTTTCTATGAGTTTGTTTTTGAAGTATAATTGATCTCAAAACTGTTAGTTTCTGATACACAGTATAGTGAATTCCATATTTCTATATATTTCAAAAGGATCACCTTGATATCTAGCTACCATCTGTCACTATACAATTATGTAATTATTGACTATAATCCCCACACTGTATATGTCATACCAGTGACTCATTTACTTTGCAGTTGGAACTTTGTATTGCTTAATCTCCCTCATCTATTTCTCTTCTTCCTCCATACCCTTCCCCTCTGGCAACCACCTGCTTGTTCTTTGAATCTATGACACTGTTTCTGCTTTGGTGTATTCATTTGTTTTCTAGATTCCACATATAAGTGAAATCATACATTTGTCCTTCTCTTTGTGACTTGTTTCACTTAGCACATGTGTGTGCCAAGTCACTTCAGTTGTGTCTAACTCTTTGCGACTCTATGGACTATGGTCTCACTTAGCATAATACCCTTTAGATCTACTCTTATTATTAAAAATCGCAAGATTCCATTCTTTTTTGTGGCTGAGTAATATTCCATTATGTGTATGTGCCTATCTATATATGGGGAGGGATAGATATGGAGATAGATAGATCTCACATCTTCTTTATCCATTCATCTATTGATGTGCATTTAGGTTGTTTGCATATCTTGGCTTTTGTATTCAGTGCTGCGATGAAATAGGTGTACAACTATCTCTTCTAATTAGTGTTTTCATTTTCTTCATATAAATGTCTAGGAGTGGAATTGCTGGACTGTGTGGTAGCTACTTTTAGTTTTTTAAGGAATCTCCATACTGTTTTTCATACTGACTGCACCAATTTATATTCCCACCAACAGTGCATGAAGGGTTAGTAGTCATTTATTTTCAAGTTAGAGGAAAACCCATGCCTGTCTCAATGGGAAGAAATCAATTTCATTCAGCTGGTGTCTGGAAAAATGATCTTGAACAGCTTATTTTTTTGTCTTCATAAAATTATTGTTTAGAAAAAATAAAACTGAAGACAGTTTCAAGTAAAGGACACAAATAAAACATTATACTTCTTACATATAAAGCCCTTCTTCAAATTTTTAATCATATATGCATAAACTGTTTCATCAATGTTATAGTAGTTGCACCTTTAAAATAAGATGTCTTTGTTCCATGTGGACACAATTTAAAAAAAAAAAAAAACATGATGATACATCTCCTTTCTGTGTTTAATAATGTCAAGATTTTGGTTGAGCTGCCATAGGCTAGGGCTCAACCATACAACCTGGAAAAACATTCAGGGCGTCTGGAACATAGAAAAATCCCCAAAGCTGTTTGGCTGGAATTTGAATGGTGAAATTAAAGCTTCTGTTCTGTGTAAATCTGTCCAGATTTAGTGTTTTACAGCATCAGATACTGCTCTGGGAGCCAAGAACTGACTGTGTCTAAGGCTCCCTCCAAGAAAAGGAGCCCTTATGCCCTGAAGTCAGGTTATATTAGAGAAAAAAAGAATTGTAAGCATTCCATTGTAAATACGATTTGTATTAATAAATGATATCTTTTCATGTGTAGAATGACTACATTCTAAAAGTACAGTTTGTTCCTGTTTTGGAGGTTCTAAATAAAAAGTAAAAGAAAATAGCATTTTAATTGGCCTTTGAGAAGACCAGCATTCTCAGGCATGGCATATGTGACTGTATTTTTGCAGTTTTAGAATGCAAATTTGAGTCCACAGTATATACTCAAATATAAACGTATCTATATATGAGTGGATGCACATACTGCATGCATGTAATGTGTATAGGGACACTGGTTTTTAAAAAAACCGGAATTTTGTATTTAAAAATTACAGATTTTCTTATCATTAATTCTAACGTATCCCACAAAACACGTTTCATTGCTGTACTAGCGCAGGCAATGTGAAGGCAATATGCAGTTTTTTGGAGAAAGAGGAAGACTGGGAACTGGGTAACATCTTTTAGCCTTTCCATTTGAACTTGGGTTTGCTTCTTAACAGGAGAAGCGGGGTGGGTGAGTGCCAGCCATCGCCCAGGTCTCGGTTCCCTGGAGGGTTTCCCTGGCCTAGTTGGGCGGGAAAGGGGTCTTCCCAGACCTGCCCTCTACCCTCACCAGCCGGCCCGCCTTGCCGCACGAATGCGGAGACGCGCGGGCCCTCCCCTGGGTCGTGAGCCCGTGACTTCCGGTGCCTTCCCGGCGGGAGCTGACCGGACTCGCGGGCTCCCTGGACCTGCGTGGCGTCCCTCTCCTGGGGATGCGGCAGCCGCATCGGGCCGCGAGCCACGCTGGGAGACCCCGGGTGCGCGGCGGCCTCCGGGGCGATCCGCCAGGCCCTGGTCGCCCTGCGCTCCCGGGTCGCGGGGTGAGAACAGGGTGGGTGGGGTAGGGTGGGGATGGGGTGCTCGTCGAAGCCCCGGGGGCTCTCCACGGGTCTCCCCGCTCAGACATTCCAAGGGGAGCTCCTTAAAGTCTGCCAAACTCCTAGGGATATTCGTAAATTAAGCCGAAGCCCTCACCGCCCAAGCCGCGCCCACGCGCCTCGTAGAACCTGCCGCGTCCACGCTGGTCGGAGCGGTATGGTGGCCTCCCCGGGGACTGACTTGTGGGGTAAATATATTTTGTAAACTCCAAAGCGAATTGATCATCAAACTTAGGAGGCTTAAACTTCACTTGCAGATCGCTTCCAAATCCCTGAGAAGGCCGCTAGCAACTCTTGGATTCCGAATTGTGATCTGTATTTAACTCATCCTCCCAACCCCCGCCCCGTCCAGGCTCAGACCCGCACCTCCCCGGGGCGGCCCGCCTGCCTGGCCCCTGCGGCGGCCGCCGCCGCGGGCGAAAACCGGCCAGCCTCCTGCTTCTCGCCCTTTGGTTTCCAGGCTGTTTGCGGTGCGGCCCCGCAGGTGTGAAGTGTGGAGGAACTCACCAACGCCAACCTCACCAAACTGACGTTTGCGGGGCACCGCTTCAGATTCTGACGTCATTTTCACACCTTTTTTTTTTTTTTTGGTCTGTCTCTCCTGTTTTGAGCCCACCAAGGGAACAGGCCCACAAGGCAGCTTTAGCAGAAGTGTAATTTCGAGAAAGTATAGATTCGATGGAAGTTCTCATTTTCCTCAGAATCTCTCTTTTATTTGTGTGTGTTTTTTTTTCTTTTTATTCTTCTTGGTATCATAATTTCATCTCTTGGCCAAAGTTCTGAAATTGAATATTAAATTTCATGGGTTTTATATGTTGTTGAAACCAGTATGGCATGATGAAATATATGCAGTATTAAACCTCAAAAACAAAGCAAAACAAAACCTCAAACCAAAGCCTTCTCTTTAGGGCAGCCTGATGAAGCAGCTAGAGAAAGAAGAGGAAGGATTTGGGAATCACTAGAAAGGAGCAGAAAGGTCTCCCCGGCTGTCATCAGAGTATTCTCCCCTTCCCCCAGAACAAATAAATAAAGCGTTGATTGCCTCTAAACCTAAAGACTAACCTGAAAAGTGTGCCCTTGTTGGAAAATTCAGATAGCATCACCTATTTCTACAGAAGGAAGCTTCGCAAATCAAGACTTTTAAAAAATATTTCCTGATTTTTATAATCAGGAGGGAGATGAGATAGCTCATTCTTTCATGTCAGAGAAACACACCACCTTCCCTCATTTAGAATCTTCCCAAGTATTCTTTGGCCAAGAGAATTATACAAAGTCTACAATTACAAAAAGTTTTTAAATCTGCCTACAGTTATAAACTTTATTTTGTATTTAATCCCCAACAAGCTGAGATTATTTTAATAAACACTGGCAATTAGACGTAAAATGAGAATAGATATTCAGCAAGTAGCATTTTGTTTCCTGGCAATCTTGCTGTCATCCGGTTTTCCCCGAAACGAAAGGGGTGAGAGGAAAGGCAGAAAAATGTCAGCAAGTGTGTGTTTTTGTCTGGATATGAACATTTCCATCTTAAGGCTCTGTCTCCAGCATAGTCCTGTCTGGTGAAGGCCGACCTTGCTTGGCCTGGTGAATGACTGTAGAAGCCTGCAGGGCCTGTATACTACCGCAGAGCTCTCCCAAAGGCTGTAGCGGGGGACCCAGGGGGCCGCAGCCAGCCAGGGGAGTCTCAGAGA